CATGGCGTCCATCTTGCTCAGGAGCTGCCGCGGCCGGGGCCCTGCCCGTCTCGCGCCGCCCCGCGCCGCCTCTCCGCGGGGTAAGCGGCCTCCGCACAGCGGACCTGTTGTGGGTGGCCAGGGTCCTGCACGGGACACCCATCTACCCCATGCCCCGAAGCAGCGCGGCGATGACAAGCACCCGGCGGCTCTATGCCTCCAGGGCTGGGCAGCTTCACTGTGACCTTAATTGCCCTGGTCGCCGCAGGTTACCGCTACGGTCAGAGGTGTTGGGAAAGTTCCTTAGGGCTGTGGCTGCCCTGGCGCTCCCCACGATGATGAACAGAGCCCAGGCGTGCCCTTTGGCCAGCTCAGGCCTGGAAGCCGGAACTCCGGGGAGGGGAGACTGGGTTTTGGGTGATGCCAGCACAGTGGGCCGCTTCCTGGGGTGGGGTGGCCGCTGACTGTAGTTTTTAAGGAAACTTGGATGTGTCCTGTTTGTAAGTTACGGTAAGGATGAAACTTGGTCTGCGAGAGTGAAACCCAAGACTTTATGGTTTACTGATAGGAGCACAGTTCTCACCTTAATAGTTGGAGCAAGGCGTGGTGTGGAGCAAGGCGTGGTGGCATATGCCCTTAATCCCAGCACTGTGGAGGCAGAGAGAGGCAGGTGAATCTCTGAGTTCCAGGCAAGCCTGGTCTACATTTCGAATTTTAGGCTAGGGTACACACAACAAAACAACAGCAACGAAGTCAGTTACGATCGGTGGAAAGACAGCAGCCTCTGCCATAAGAGCTGTCCACCTGTTAACTTGTTCAGAATGCTGTAAAGTAGTACTTCTGGCCTTTCTTATTTCTATAGCCTATTTATGGATCAAAAATTAGCTGGTAGTTTTTGTGTATGTTCTTATTATTCTGGGCGTAAGAATGCTTTCTGTAGCTAACCAGTGCCCTTTGAACAAAAGTATGCTTCCCTGATAGTGGATTAGTCAGCTGGTTAGCTGCGGAACCAATAGGGCAGGGCTGGTAGGGGACTCACTGGAATAATGTGCTGTCAGAGGCAGTAGGCATAGGATGAACATCCTAGTTTTTAATCATAGTGAATAAGTTGAGGGCAACATTGTACCAAATTTCTCTTGACTCTGGAGTACCTACCTTATTCTGCACTTTTGTGTGACATACTTCATTCTGACGTTCTCTTTGTGTGTTCTCTTTGTGTTTCTTCGTTTTCTTCCGACACATTTCGTTAGTCCTTGTGGCTCTTCAAATTGTAACAATTTCCCCTATTTTCTTTGATTTTCTTGACGTTGACAGTTTTGATGAGTACTTAGGCCAGGTGTGTTGTAGGGTGTTTCTTTTGGTGTTTTGCTGAGGAGTTCTGGGGCAGAAGGGCACAGATTTTAAGTGCTTTTCTCATACATGCTGCCAGTTAAGGTAAACTCATCATGTTTGATGTTGATCTGGTTCCCTGGCCGAAGTGTGGCGTTTCTTTCCTTCCCCCTCGCCTTGCTATGCTGTCCTCTATGAAAGGAAGTCACTTGGTATGCAGAAGTGGGGCTGACAGATCTGGAGCGTGTGAGAAAGAAGCATCCAGTTCACACTGCCACTTTGTAAGCCTGTGAGGACGAGTCAAGGCTCAGGGGAACCAAAAATACTGGCCTGGAGTGAGATGGGCTCCTGCAGCTGTTGACAGCCCCAGACCTGGAAGCTTGGCATGAAGGGCAGGGAGGACATTGCCTGGAGGGATGTAAAAGTCTCTTGGAGACCAGGTGAAGCAAGGAAGGACATTTAGTCTTTATCCCTGTTCCCGACACTGAGCTCCTAAAGCTTTTGGAGTGATTAATAGCAATGGGTTCCCCCCGCCCCCCTGCCACCCAGACAGGTAGAACCCTGGGCAGCCCTGTCTGTTCTGGAACTCACTCTGTAGACCAGGCTGGTGCCTCTCAAGTGTTGGGATTAAAGGTATGTGCCAGAGATGGCTCAGTGGTTAAGAGCACTGGCTGCTTTTTCCAGAGGTCCTGAGTTCAAATCCCAGCAACCACATGGTGGCTCACAACCATCTGTAATGAGATCTGGCGCCCTCTTCTGGCCTGCAGGCATACATCGAGGCAGAATACTGTATACATAATAAATAAATAAATCTTTAAAAAAAAAATAAAAGTATGTGCCACCACACCCGACTGGGTTTGTTACTGAAGGAAAATGGGGAGTAGGCCTAGGTAGATGAGGGGAGATGAGGGGAGGCCTGTAGTGAGCTGTAGTGAGACTAGAAGGCTAGGACTTCACCCTAACATCCTAGGAGGCAGAGAATATAGAGTGGGCAGTGGACCCAAGGAGAGGATGCTGCAGAAAGAACCTGGATTGCTCAGGACTGTCCTGGGCATGTCCTTATCTCCTCTGGCTGTTCACTTGTATGCTTTGTGGTAAACTGTGACAATGACCAGAGCACTATGCTGGGTTCTGTGAATTGTTCTAGCAAATTATCAAAACCAAGAGGGTCTTAAGAGACGGCACAGCAGTTAAGAGCACTGACTGCTCCCGAGGACTTGGGTTCAGTTCCCAACACCCACATGGCAGCTCACAGCCGTCTGTAACTCCAAGATCTGGCAACCTTACACAGACATATATGCAGGCAAAACATCAATGCACATAAGATTTTTTTAAAAACCTTATTTTAAACTTTAGAAATTTATGTGTACTTGTGTGTCTGTATGGGTATACATACTGTATGGGTGCAGGTGCCCATGGAGACCAGAACTCATAGAACGGGAGTTACAGGCAGTTATGAGCCAGCCAATGTGAATGCTGGGAACTGAACCCAAGTCCTCTGCAAAAATAGCAAGTATTTTTAACTGCTGAGCTGTCTTTTTAGACCAAACCCCAAATTTACAGACAGCAGAAGTATAGGCAGCCTGTGCAGCTTAGTAGAATATGGACCTGCAAGCCTGGATGACTTTGATAGCGGAGCAGGAACAGCCCTCAGATGTTATTTGGGGGAGAACCCAGGAAGGGATCAGAGTAAAGTCCACCCATTCCATCTTCTGGGTGCTCTGGGGGTGTTTCTGAGCCAAATCCTGTAGAAGTAGGATTGGAAGGGGCAGAGAGGAAGTTCTGGGCCTCTTTGGATTAAGAAGAGTCTGGAAAAGTTTAGGTGGCCCTAGTCTGTACTTAACATGTAACACTTTCTGTCACAGAAACTTAACAGAAAAACAACAACAACAACAACAAAAAACATGTTAACACTTGTTGCTTGTAAGAATGTAGCTGAGGGCCAGCTAGATGGCTCAAATTCTTGTTTTCTGACCTGAGTTCCAATCCCAGGACCCACATGGTGAAAGAGGAGAACCAAATCTTGCAAGTTGTCTTCTGACCTCTGAATGGGTGCACATACACTAAATAAATACAAAAATAAAATTTAAAAACAAACATGATTTTATAATAAGAATGTACCCAATATCTTTGTTATGAATTGTGAATAGTGGTGAAGGAACCAGAGTTTTCCAGGTTCTAGCAGACCCTAAATGTGACCTCTTTCCCCATAGAGCCAGAAGAGCTCCCTCCTGACATAAACTGGTAAATGGGTGCTGTTACCGCTACTCCCACTGCTTGGAGGATTGGGCCAAGGTGTCCTTGCTGGCCCTTGCTATTGCCTGACCTCTACACGGGCCGCCTGACCCCTGCTGAGAATGATACCTCTGGTCCCCACTGTACAGAGAGCCTGTTCTCTCCAACTTTCCTGCTTCACACAACGCTGTGAATAAACTCTCAGTGTGTCAGGAGACTTAGAGTGGATTAGGGAAAGTGTCCCAAGTGTGTTCTATTGATCATCTCTACTCTTTTTCCATAAGTGGCGTCCTTTAGAAATTTTACTTTGCTAGGCGTGATGACACATACTTTTTATCCCAGCACTTGGGAGGTAGAGGCAGGCATATCTCTGGAGTTTGAGGCCAGCCTGGTCTACAGAGTTAAGAAGCCCTTTCTCAAAAACCAAAAACAAGACAATAATAATAAGATAAATAAAACTTTTGCTTTAATTACATTCGTTGTGTGTGTGCATGTATTCCTGGACATGCCATAGCATGCTTATGGAGGTCAGAAGACAACTTTTGGGAGTTATTTCTCCTACTGGGTAGGCACTGGGATTAAACTCAGGTCTTGAGGGCAAGTGGTTTTATCTACTAAGCCATCTTGTCAGCCTTATAGGGGCTTCTTGGTAATTTTTTCCCCCAGTAGTTCTTATCCCTTGTCCCTTGTCATTGTTGTTTGGTCTGTAAGGCTGTCTGTTTGCTAGGAGTCGGTGTGCCCTTCCCCCTGCCTACCTACACCAACTATATAGCTAGTTGGGAGGGGTCCCACAATGGAAGAAGACCACGGACCTTCAGTACCCCTTCCCTGGGGCTTAGCCTGAGACGCAGTTTCCAACTAGGGAGATTAGATACTCTGTTCCACCGTGCTCTGAAGCCCTTCATCATGTACAGCAGTCCTCCAGAAACTTACTGGTAGGTTTCATTCAGACCTTCAAAGATGTCTGGTTGACACCTGTTTGCTGACTTTTCTTTGTTTCTGTCATAGGTAGTCGAAGGGATCGAGCGTGTCTCAGTTGTACCAGGACCGTGGGGTTGATAAGCCAAGAGTAAGTAAGCCCATCACTGAATGAGTCACTGTGCTTGTCTGCTTGAGGATGTTGGCCATATACCTGGAACTGACAGCTTCTTTATTCCTTGCTTGTGTTCCCTTTAAATCTTGATGACCCTACTGCTTAGCCTTCCAGTTACTGGAAGTACACGTGTGCTCCGACATGCCCAGCCTAACATTTTTACTTTTGCATTTGGTTTTTGGTGTAGTTGTTATCAGTATAGTTTTGTCTACCTAGCATGACTAATCATCCCATGCTCACACAGCTGAACTCTTCAGTGGCTTTCCACAGAATCTTGCTTAGTTCTTTTCAGCTGTTTGTGGCAGTATTGGGTGTGTTGGGATCTGTTCATGACAAGGCAGACCCTCCCTTGAATACTTTGGTCTTTCAAGGGTACCTGCAGCTAGTCTTTTTTGTCCCACTAGTCAGCTCCCAAATCATGACCTGGAGACTTATTATTAATTATGAAAGCTTAGCTGATAGTTTAGGCTTATTTCCTAACTAGCTCTTATAACTTAAATTAATCTATATCTTTTAAACTATTTTTTACATGGCTCAGTTTCCTTTATTTTGCCCATGCTGCTTGCTCTGTGTTCTGGCATCTCCTGTCTTCTTCCCAGCATCCTTTCTGTCCTGAAAATCTTGCCTAGCTATTGGCTGTTCAGCTTTTTATTAAACCAACCCAAGTGACACATCTTCACAGTGTACAAAAAGATTATTTCATGACAGGTACCTGCTTCAGGGATGCTCACAGTATGCCTCTTACCTTGCTCTGGATGCAGAGTGAGTAAGGTGTATTTAGCCATTCCCTTTGGTACCTAAAGCCTACAAGGTGACAGTGCCTATGAGATAGTGGCAGCGTCTCAGATAAGGCTTTTATGGCGTTGGAAAGCCAGTTTCCCAGAGCTTCTTGAAAGTGGCGCCAACACTCTCTGTTGTATATAGGCTTGGACTTGCTCCAGGGTTGCTGTGCTTCTTGCACCCCAAGTTTCTACCTCAGCCCTGTCTTACCTAAGGACAGGGCCAGGAGATGCCCTTGTCTGTCAGCTCAGGTCAGTGAAAGGGGGTTCATCTCCTTCCACTTTCATGTCCCTGTCACTTCCTCTGGGAGAGCAAGAAACCAGTGCCCCCTTCTGTGCTCTTCTCATTTCTGGAAGGTTTGTGTTCACTTAGAGCTGTGAGCTGATTACTCAGCTCTGAAATACAACCAGTTGTGCTTCTTGTAACAGATTTATTAATTCCCTAAAATAAAGACAAGTCATTTGTGAAGACTTGATTTCTGTTAAAGCATATTTGACTTGATGCCTTGTCAAGTTCATCTGGGATGAACAGGCCTGCAGACTTCTTGGACACGGCTTCATTTCTGTGGCTGGATGCCTACTGCATACCCATCATTTGGTCAGATCCCTACACAGCTAGAGTCCTGTGTGGGCTGCCACCATGTGCCTGTTGAGTGACTAGACTTCCCATTGAATAGTTTCAAGACCTCTGTCACGGAGCCGTCTTTGTGCTGCCAGTAGTGGCATTAATGTCTGTGTACAGAGCTGCTTTCACACTTTTATGTTTGTTTTTGGGGGTTTGTTTTGTTTTGAGACAGGGTTTCTCTGTGTTAACAGCTCTGGCTGTCTTGGAACTTGCTCTATAGACCAGGCTAGCCTCAAACTCACAGAGCTCCACCTGCTTCTGCCTCCCAAATTCTGGGATTAAAGGCACCACCACTACCTGGCTTAGTTTCTTTCACTCTTCCTGAAGTGTGCTGGTGAGCTGGTGAGGTCCAGTAGGCCTTGCTCTTGGAACTCGGGAGGAGTTAGAATAGGATTTGATGTAGAGTCTCTGGTTTTAAAGTGCCAACACCAAGAGGAGGTTAGGGGAGTGCTCTGTAGGCTCCATTTCCCTCTGTAAATTCATGAAGGTGTGATTAGTAGGTACCTTGATTTATAACTGAATGGCCTAGATGGTAATCCTTACTGCAGGGCAGTATATATGACTAATACTGGGATCAACCATATGCCGTTTTCCTTACTACGTTCTCTAGCTAACATTAGTGTAGGGACCAGTTCCTCATCCTGATTACTCTGAGATTTTGAGTGTCCTAGATGAACCTGTTAGTTCTTTTACTCTACAACAACCTTTGTGGAGTTGTGACTGAAACACCATTAAACCTGTCAAACACTTGAGATTGGCAGCTTTTTGTTTTGTTTTGTAGTGTTGAGAATAGAACCTAAAGACTTGGGCTTGCTAGATGAATACTCCCAAGATAAGCACCTCTTTTCTTTTCTTCTTCTTCTTTTCTTTTTTCTTTCTTTTCTTTTTCTTTTCTTTTCTTTTTTTTTCTTCAGAGATGGGGTTTTCTGTGTAGCCCTGACTGTCCTGGAACTCCTTCTATAGACCAGGCTGGCCTCAAACTTAAGAGATCCACCTGCCTCTGCCTCCCGAGTGCTGGGATTAAAGGTGTGCACCACTACCTCACAGTTGTTTATTTGTTTTAACAGAATCTCCTGTAGCTGAGGCTGGCCTTTAACTCTTGATCCTGCTACCCCATCTCCCAAGATTTGGGGTTAAAGAGCGGGGATGGAACTGAGGACCTTACTTCCACTAAGCCATCTTCTACTGCTAAACTACCTGCCTTCCCTCTGATTTCTTCAAACATTTCCTTTGAGTGTGGTGATACACTCCTTTAATCCCAGCAGAGGCAAGCAGATCTCTATGAGTTCAAGGGCAGCCTGGTCTACATGAGTTCCAGGCCAGCCAGGGATACATAGTTAGACCCTGTCTCTCTCAACTCCCTGCAAAAAGACTTCCCTTTTCTTTCAGAAAAAAAAAGTGGTATCATTTCTGTTATGTCCTGACCTTGGCCTTTAAGGCAGTTCCCAGGTGTATTCCACCCTCATTATCCTTTTCTACTGTATTGCCACATGCTTTCTGCTGCCAGTCTGATAGTTTCTAAAAGCTGGCCTCTTCACAGCATGGCAGCCTCTGCTAGCTTAGTAGTGCTCATTATACTGAACGTTCATTAGCTTTCAGGTGGCCTCATTTTCTGCTATTTTTTTGTAAATATTTATTATGTATACAATATTCAGTCTGCATGTATGCCTGAAGGCCAGAAGAGGGCACCAGACCTCATTACAGATGGTTGTGAGCCCACATGTGGTTGCTGGGAATTGAACTCAGGACCTTTGGAAGAGCAGGCAATGCTCTTTACCTCTGAGCCATCTCTCCAGCCCCCCATTTTCTGCTATTTTAAAGTGTTTCCAATAGGAATATGTATTAGATTTGTCAAGTACCTTTTTTTTTTTTTTTTTGGTTTCGTTTGGTTTTTTTGAGACAGGGTTTTTCTCTGTAGCCTTGGCTGTCCTGGAACTCATTATGTAGACCAGAATAGCCTCAAACTCAGAGATCTGCTTGTACTAGGATTAAATCATGTGCTACTACCACCTGCTTGTCAAGCTGTCTTTTTTTTTTTTTTTTTTTGGTTTGGTTTTTTTGATACAGGGTTTCTCTGTAACTTTGGAGCCTGTCCTAGAACTAGCTCTTGTAGACCTGCCTCTGCCTCTTGAGTGCTGGGATTAAAGCCACCACTACCCGACTGTCAAGCAGCTTTTTAGCATTTAAGATTCATATTAGAATGTGAAGAACTGTGCTTTTATTAGTTAAAAAAAATTTTTTTTTCAGTGCTGGGAATCAAACCCAGAGTCTTGCACTGCTAGGCAGGTGCTCTTCTACATCCCCAAACCTTGTTTGGCATGAAACAGTCTTACTGTGTAATCCAGGGTAGTTCTAAACTCAACTCTGCCTTCCAGTACTGGGATTATAGATATGTGCCCCCATGCCAAGTTTTAACATTTTTCTTGTAAGTTAACCATTTTGAACATTTGCTATAAAAGCTAACACTAATAACTATGATGTTCTATTGATCAACTTATACATTTTAAATCAGCACTTATGGATGAACAACAAAAACTTTCATTTTGCTGAGCAATATAAGAATCTTTGTGTGCATGTAAGTGTAAGCACATGTATGTGGGTGCTAGTATGTGCATCTGGAAGCCACAGGTTAACATGGGGTATCTTTCTTAATCATTCTCCACCTTATTTTTTTGAAACAGGATTTCTCAGTGAATCTAGAATTTACTGATTTTACTAGGCTGGCTGGCAATAGTGATCTGCCTGTCTTCCTCCCTTGTACAGGTATTTATAGGTGCACACCACTGTACACAGATTTTGCTGTGGATACTGAGGATCCAAATTCAGGTTTTCATGCTTACACAGCAAGTACTTTACCAGCTCAGTCACCTCTCTAGCCCATGTAAGAAATCTTGACTCCTGGAGCTGGAGAGATGGCTCATTGGTTAAGAGCGCTTGATATATTTGCGAGAGCCTGGGACCCATTCCCACATAGCCATCTGTAACTTTATATCATAGGATCCATATCCTCCTTTGTCTTCCATAGCTACCTGACATGCACATGATGCATAAACATACATGTAACCAAACAATCACCCATAAAAATAAATAAATAAATCTTTAAAAGAATGCTGAACTTAATACATAGAACTCTCAGAAATTTTTATTTATTTTTATAATTTTTTTTCTTTGCTTTTTAAAAAGAAAGAAATTCTTGAGTTCTGGAGGTGACTTGCTAGGTGCACATTGGTAGCGGTTTACTGTGTTTTGTTTTCTGAGACAGATCTCTCGTTTGTAGTCCTGGCTGTCTTAGAACTACTCATTATGTTGACCAGGCTGGCCTCAAATTCAGAGAGCTCCACCAGCCTCTCCTTTCTGAGTGCTAGGATTAAAGGAGTGCACCACCATCCCTGACTGGATAGTTTGATATATTTACATTTGTATACATACAGCATATCTATATATGTGAATGTGTGTGTACTAAGATGTATGTGAAAGTCAGAGAACAACTTTTGGGAGTTGGTTCTTTCTTCCACCTTAGGTCTCCAGGCTTGGTAGCTAACACCTCTACCCACTGAGCCTACTTGCCAGCTCCCAGTATTCATTTTTCAGCAAGTACCTGTGTGTGTGTATGTGTGTAAACATATGTGTTATAATGCAGGTACGGAGGTCAGATGACTACCTGGTGGATGGTGTTTGGCTCTTTCCTTCCACCATGTGGTTCTTAGGGATGACTTAGGTCATCAGGGAGGGTGGCAAGTGCCTGTATCTGCTGAGCCATCTAGCCAGATCCTACGCTGCTACATTTAATGCTCATAGTGGCAAAATTTGCTTTGGGAAATTGAATCATGCTGATGGATATCCCTGCAGAGCATAATCCCAGTGCATAATGACACTGCAGTCTAAACTTTCAGAATCTCCTGTCTTGGTCTGGGACTAGGTACTGAGTATTCTACTATACTTTTTTTTTTTCTCTGTATCATCTATTTCCTAAACCAGGAAGCAGGTGTGGTCTAATGTGGTATATCCACAGGCCTCTAAGTGGAGAGTTGTCTGCACTTCTGGAATCATCTCTTGGTTTAGGAGGCTGTTGCTCTGCTGTTCTTCCTTTCTGCTGAGGATAACTTGGTTCCTTGACATCACTTCCCTGAAGAACAGAGTGACTTATCCTGGTTGGTGTCCTTCCTGACAAGGCCTCTCCTTTGGCTACTGGCTTGCTTCATTCCTTTCTAGGAGCAGCCTGTGGTTGGAGGCTCTGGGGTACACCAAGGGAGTTGTCCTCTTGGGAGTGGCCCACAGGCATACTTCTGGTATTTGTGTGATGTTGATGAAAGTTATAAACACTGACAGCAGAGGGGGTATCTGTCCATCCCCATCTGTGTATGTGTGACTTATGTCAGTCTGTGTGTCCCATTCCTGTTCCTGCCTTCCAGATAGCTCAGAATAGGTAGTTCATGTGCTAAGGCTCATAGACACTTCTATTTTATAAAGTACTACTTAGTCTTTCTGCTCCTAACTTGAAACCTGGACATTCAGACTGGGCAGAACATAGCCTCAGGAAACTTAAATAAGTGATCACCCTTGCTAAGATTCCTGGCTTCATAATATAGGTATGTGGGTACTGTGGGGGGCGTGTTGGCTATATGTTTGTTTGCTTGTTTGTTTGGGGGTATACATGTGGGTGAACCTGTGCTATGGTACTTATGTGGAGATCAGAAGACAAACTTTGGAAGTCAGTTCTCTCCTACCATGTGGATCCCAGGGATTGAACTAACATTGTGAGATTTGATGACCTTTACCCACTGAGCCATCTTGCCAGCTCCAGCGTATTTCTTGTTGAAATATTGTGTTTGGTTGGTGCTATTTCGCTCCATTTGATAGGTGATTTTTCAGAAGAGGAAAGGCAAAAACAAGAGGAAGTCAGAAGATAGGGTGGTGGAAGCTAGGCCCATAATCTGGCCCTTTGGTTAGCGCCAGTAAGCACCAGCAGCACCAAAATGAATTCTGTATTGGTAGAAAATTTAAGAATGTTGTATAACTTGGGCTGGGATGTAGCTCAGTAGTCAGCACTTGATCTAGCATGTGGGAGGCCCTGGGTCTTATTCTTAGGACTGCAAACAACAACAACAACAACCAAAAAAGAAAAAAGAAAAAAAAGTGATGGGGGCTGGAGAGATGGCTCAGTGGTTAAGAGCATTGCCTGCTCTTCCAAAGGTCCTGAGTTCAATTCCCAGCAACCACATGGTGGCTCACAACCATCTGTAATGAGGTCTGGTGCCCTCTTCTGGCCTGCAGACATATACACAGACAGAATATTGTATACTTAATAAGTAAAATAAATAATTAAAAAAAAAAGAAAAAAGTGATTTTTCCACTGCTTAAAAATGGCAAAACATTATGTGTAAGCTGTTAGTAACAATGGTTAGTAACCTCTCTGATAGGCCAGTGATAATGACTCGGTGGGTAAAGGCCTCTGACACCAAGCCTGTTGACCTAAGTTTGATCCCCAAGATCCACATGGTGGAAGGGAAGAATGGACTCCTACCAATTGTCCTCTGACCTATGAGGCTCTTATACCCAGTCCTCCCCCAACAGCAACAACAACAAACTCTCTGATGAGTTTAAGAAGAGCAAGATCTTGACCCAGCCCTTAGCCAGAACACTGTGTTGCCCACTTCATCTTTGTATGTGTGTCTTTGTCTTGGCCCATTGGCTGCCCTTGCACCTGCAGGCATCAAGCCTTCTGTGGAATCCACACCCTTCCTCAGTGAGGATGGGAGATTGATATTTTAAAAGCCTGATGATACCTTGTTCCATATGCAGAACTGTCTTCCTCTGTACTTGAAGGGGAGACCAAGGTAAGAAGGTAGGAAGAAGGGGCCTGCCGTCTCTCTGTTGGTAAGCTGAGTGGTACTCTGAATCTGGCTGTGCTGTCTTGATCCTTGTAGCCTCACCCTGAGTGATGGTTCAGGACAGAGTAGATTCAAGGGCCTCTTCACAGCTTCAAGATTGCAGACCAAGGAAAGCTAGAGGTGTGGAACTGGGTGTGGCTTGGGAAGAGATCGACAGCACTTTACCAGAGCCCTAAGGAGATAGATGAAGTGGGGGGGGGGGGCTGCCATACATGCTCACAGGCACACTGTGTCACTGTTTTCACTGGTCCACAGATGTCCATACCACTCTTCTCTGATATTACTGCTTGCTATCAGGTCATTGTAGGCTGTGACAGAGGACAGATTTGGAGTTTGGATGGCACCAGAGCTGAGCCTAGCAGCTAGAGCCTTGGAGCCCATTGAGTCTCATGCCCTGATTCTTTGTGGACTGATCGTGCTCTGTACCAGCTATCTCTGTATGTTACACACTGTGAGCCAAGGCCGTGTGCACCACTAGTATACCTATGAAGCATTGTCATACCTTGCTTCCCATTGTTTTGACGGGGCAGTCACTGTTAGCTCCGTTCCTGATAGGTGCATTTTAACATGAAATTACAAAGAAAGCTCCTGAAGCACAGAGAGGTCATTGCAACTGCAGCAAGTGGACCAGCATTTGTCTGTGTGTGAGTGTGTGTGTGTGTGTGTGTGTGTGTGTGTGTGTAGTATTGTTGCTTGAGACAGGGTCTTACTATGTAGTACTGACTAGCAAATACCGACTCACTATCTTACTCTGTAGCTCATGGTGGTCTCAAACTCAGAGATCTGGATTCTACTTCTTCCCAAGTACTGGGATTAAAGACATGCACCACTGCTGCTCAGCTACACAGACTTTTTTAAACTTTTATTTTAATTTTAATTTATTGTATGTAGGGGCAGGAGTGCATGCTATGGCACCAGGATAGAAGTCAGGACAATTTAATTGCAGGAGTTGATCTTTCACTACCAGTGTGGGTCCCAGGGATCTAACTCAAGTCATCAGGCTTGGCAGCTGGCAGCTTTATCCCCTGAGCCCAGAGCTGCAGATGTTGAGCTCTGACATCCGCTTCAGTGTGTGATGGTCCCCCACGACAGGCCTCTGGAGTGATTTTAGAGTTGGTGGCCACCTAGAGGTTGGTAAATGACTAGTGGGGAGAGGTTTCTAATGTATGGTTTAAACCTGACCAAGGATTATACAACTCAGCTGCTTCATGATCAGATGGTAATCTCAGCATTGACTCCGGCTCCAGATAGAGTCAGAAAAAGGTCTTTTTGATACAAACCCCAGACTACAGGTTAGGCCTGGTCCCCTCTGCAGTTGGTCTTTGTGGTTACTTTGTGAGTGAGTACTACTTGGGTTCCAGGCTGTCCTGTGAGCTTGGTCCTGTGTGGACGAAGAAGTCTAAGGTTTTTGGCAAACAGCCTCTGGCTGTGGCCTCACCTGATTTAGGACTCCTATAAGAGGCATAGGCCCTGATGACACACATGCCTCTTATCTCTCCATGACAGGCGTTTGGTAGCTGCATGCGTCAGAGTACACTAAGGGGGAAAGAGGAGACAGAGGTGGGGGAGTCATGCTAGAGCCAGGTAAGGGAATGGACCCTGGACTCTCCTTTGGAGTTTTCCCTTTATTCCAGTGCCTTCTGTCAACCAAGAGTCACCTATTGAGAGAGAATATCCAAACTGGATGGACTCTTGACTCTGGATCCCATACCCTCAAATTCCAAAGTTATGAATATCACTTCCTACGTCAGGTGCCCGGGACTTCTCCTATGTATGCATGTCTCCCCTACTGTTGTGTGTCTTTGAGGACTTATGAGTTAGGCCAGTAAGGCTCACACTCATGTGTGAGGTCCAGCTAGGCCACACACCATCCTAGCCTCAAATGCAAGCCCTTCTAAAGGCTTCCTTCAAAGAAGTAGGATACATAATTTGATCCACCATGAAGTATGATTTGGTATTTGGTACTGAGTGGTCAGATAGGTAGGACTTCTCATTGCGGTTTTTCTGTTGTTCCCATTTCAAGGAAATTTCTGTCTCGCTGCTGTACTCCAGCCAACCCTGTGTACCTCTGCTTCAAAGGTGAGCCCCGCAGCAGTTGGACTCAGTGGCTTGAGTGCCAGGGCACCATTGCAAGGGCAACATGGACACCTGCTTCTGCAAGATTGGTTGTCACAGGACCTCAGTACCTTCCTGTGCGCAGTTGGCACTCATCACCTCCCCTAGGAGAGGACTCTGTGATAGAGAAATCCCTTAAATCCTTAAAGGACAAGAATAAGAAGCTGGAAGAGGGTGGCCCTGTGTACAGCCCGCCAGTTCAAGTGGTAGTAAAGAAGTCCCTTGGGCAGAAGATACTGGATGAGCTGAAGCACTACTACCATGGCTTCCGCCTGCTCTGGATCGACACCAAGATAGCTGCCCGCATGCTGTGGCGTATCCTCAACGGCCACACACTGACCCGCCGGGAGCGCAGGCAGGTATGGATGGGACACACCGTGCTCTCCTTTCTACTCAGCTTATTCTACTCCTTTTGATAAAAAGTCAGTAAAGGTTTATACAAATGAACCTTTCTCATCCTCCTAGTGAACCATAATGTGAATACTAACACATTCTTTCCTCCCTTGGTGATTTCCTTCAGCCTTGCCCTTGATCTGGGTCTGTTTCTACTTCACAGACACTATGTCCCTCGGGGAAGTCTCTCAGAGTTATTTCTTTGACTCTGTGAGTCTGGTATGTAATTCCTTCTGTCCTTAAGCTCTGAGAAGGCTCTTCCCGGGGCTGGAGAGATGGCTCAGTCATTAAAAGCACTTGCTGTGCTTAAGATTACATAGGAGATGCTAGGCGGTAGGGGCGCACACCTTAAATCTTAGCACTTGGGAGGCAGAGGCAGGAGGATCTCTTTGAGTTCGAGGCCAGCCTGGTCTCCAAAGTGATTTCCAGTTCAGCTAGGGCTGTTCACACAGAGAAACCCTTTCTGGGGGGAAAAAAAGACTTTGTGGGAGTTTGAGTTTAAAGATAACAGATTAATCTGGCAGAGGAAATTTCAAGACAAGATCTTGTCACCCAAGCCTGACCACCTGAGTTTAGTTCCCGAAGCATGTAAGGGTACAGGGAGAGAAATGGCTGCACCAAGTTGTTCTTTTACTTCCACATGTGTGCTATGGCACACATGTATCCTCCCACATACATGATAGGTACACACATGTGCTTACACACACATAATGAAAATAATTGTTTTTACCCAGGTTTATAGTGGGGATCAAGAGCAAAAGCTGAGTGGAAAGACTTGAAAAACTTACAGTTGGGCCAGAAAAGCCAGTCAAAAGTTGGAGCTAAGGATAGTCCAGTTGTTAAAAAAAATGGGACCATGGGGCTGGAAAGATGACTCAGTAGTTTAGAATGCTTATTGCTCTTGAAGAAGACCTGGATTCAATCCCAACACCAGTATGGTGGCTCACAACCATCTCTAACTCTAGTAACCAAGACTTTATAGACTCTCATTTGACTTCTTTGTATACCAGACATGCATAATGATACATAGATATACGTGCAAGCAAAGCATTCATGCACACACACACACACACACACAGAGAGAGAGAGAGAGAGAGAGAGAGAGAGAGAGAGAGAGAGAGAGAGAGATTGGGACCATTAAAAACAAGCAAGTACTTTGTGAGAAACATGCCTTTAGGGCATCTAAGGCATTGGCCAGACTGTGGCCTATAATAAGCTCTGCTTTGGAAAATTTTAAACTCATTTGAAGGACTTCACAGGTTCCTCTATTTGCAGGGAGTGTTCTGGTATAGCTTTCGTAGATTGCTATCTTATCTAAATGGCCCTCCTTTGGGCCGGTCTCACATTCTCTGCATCTAGTAAGCTGTGAGTTAGCACCCAGTCCTATTTTTTTAAGGCCATTTGCATGTTTAGATTGTGAGAAAGAGATGGGTTTCTGGAAGTTATCTGCCAAGAGTCTGAGTCACACTGTGGTTGAGTTGTAGTTATGGTAAGAGAGATGTTCCTGCCCTGCTCTGCCCACTGATGTTTCCATGTCTTTGCAGTTTCTCCGGATTTGTGCAGACCTCTTCCGCCTAGTGCCTTTCCTGGTGTTCGTGGTCGTGCCCTTTATGGAATTCCTGCTGCCTGTAGTTGTAAAGCTCTTCCCCAACATGCTGCCATCCACATTTGAAACCCAGTCCATCAAGGTGAGGCCACTAGTACTTTGAATGCCGTTTGAAAATTAGTCTAAGGATTAGGGTGACAGCTAAATAGGTAAAGAAATATTTGCATGAAAACACAAGGTCTTGAATTTAAATCCCTGGAAGCATGTAAAAACCAAGTTGGGTAGTGCATCTGTAATCCCAGGTCTCCTATGGTGAGATGGAAGGTAGATATAGGATAATTCCTGAAAGATCATGTGTCAGCTAGGGGCAAAAGACAAAGAAGAGACCCTGTCTCAAACAAGGTGGTGGTGAAGACCAATACCCGAGGGGTCTCCTGATCTCCACACACAATGTCCGCACTCAAATAAGTCAATATACATACACATACATTAAACATACAAACACACACCCAAAAAAATAAATAACAAATAGAAAGAAAATGAGTCTAAAATTCCTTCAGACCACACACTGTTACATGTGTTGTCTGGTTCTTTTGTGATGCACCAGCTGAGCTAAGTGATTATGTCAGACTAAATGAGGCCCCAAAACCTCACTGTCTGGTCCCTCATGAAACAAATATACCAACATCTGCTGTTGAGGTATGGTTGGGGCTTCACACAGACATTTTTTAAAAACCATGAAGTAGAGTTTAAGAATATGTCACACTTAGATTTTGTCCCTTGAAGGGTATGGTATGTAGGTGACTTGCAGCAGGCAACAGTCTAAGCAGGCTTCAAGACTATTTCCTACAGTAGAGACAGGTCGTGGTGGAATGCAAGAGGGTACAGGGCATGACTGGACTATATAACCTTAACTTTGCTCTCATAGGAGGAAAGGCTGAAGAAGGAGCTTCGGGTTAAGCTGGAGCTAGCCAAGTTTCTCCAGGACACCATAGAGGAAATGGCCCTGAAGAACAAGGCAGCCAAGGGGAATGCCACCAAAGACTTCTCTGCATTTTTCCAGAAGGTGTAGTATTCTCATCTGTCACAAGATGATTCATATGTCAAGCACTACTAGGCCTTTTCTTCCCTCTTCCTTCCTTTACTTCTCTTTCTCTCTCTCTTTTTTTTTCTTTTCTTTTAAATTGCATACTCAGCAGAATAAAGCTCTAAGGACAGAGCTTAAGCTAACTGCCTGCTCCCTGTGCTCAGTCCCTCTCAAGGGAGCTGTAGTATATACAAATGCACCTCTTCCTGCCACTGAGAAACTGGGGTGTGGCTTGAGAGCCCAGGGCAGTGCCCCACAGCCCTGATGGAAAAAGTACAGCAGAACTGACTGCACACTGGCTTTCCCAGTCTCCTGGTGGACAGCAGCCTGGATGGTGATGCACGTAGGTGCTGTGTATCTAGTGCCTCCTGCAGGCTTAGAGTGCCTGAGGTATGACCACCCCTGGAGATCTTGGTGACAGGTAGGTGGTCTGGCCCTCTGCATCTGCTCACTCTCGGTTCCTTACTTCCAGCTGGAACCCAAGGCTAACTCTGGGAACAGGAGAATGCATAGTTTTGACTTAGTGATAATACTTGGAATTACTTCTGCAGATCCGGGAGACAGGAGAGAGACCCAGCAATGAGGAAATCATGCGTTTTTCCAAATTATTTGAGGATGAACTGACCCTGGATAACCTCACGAGGCCTCAGCTGGTGGCACTGTGCAAGCTGCTGGAGCTTCAGTCCATCGGTACCAACAACTTCCTGCGTTTCCAGCTCACCATGCGCCTGAGGTCCATAAAGGCTGATGACAAAGTGAGTTGTGCTGAAAGTCACAGCTGTTGCAGAGTCCTATTCTGGCCACTGTGAGGCGCCCTCTCATCTCTGTTTTGCACACATACCCTTTTCTCTCCGCAGGGCTCTGTCTTCTCGCTTTTCTTGTCATTATTGTTCTCACATAGCTCAGGCTGGCCTAGAACTCACTAAATGGCCCAGGCTAGCCTCACATTTGTGGTGATCCTCCTGCCCCAGGCTACTGAGTGCTGGGATTACAAACATAAACCACCACACCTGGTTTGTTTGTTGTTGTTTTTTTGTTTATATGTTTCTTTTTGCTTGGGAAGAACAGTTCTGGGTATTGAATCCAGAGCCTCACAGTGCTATGTAAGCACTCTGACTCCTGGGCTGTTCCCTTAACCCTCTTTTCTTTTCCCTAATTTCTTTAGATTTATTTATGTATGAATGTTTTAACTGCATGTATCTATGTGTACCATGTGTGTGCCTGGATTACCTCAGAGTTCAGAAGAGGGCATGGGATCCTGAAACTAGAGTAGCAGATGGTTGTGAATGACTAACCATGTAGGTGACGGGAATCGAACCCTTGCATGATGGAAGAACAGCTTAGTACTCTTATCTGTTGAGACTCTCTCCAGCTTTGCTCTGTTTTCTTTTTCCAGTTTTCATGCATATGTAGTATTTATGTGTGTATGTATTGCTCGTTTTGGGGGTGGGGGTACGCGCGCGCGTGTGTGTGTGTGTGTGTGTGTGTGTGTGCGCGCGCGCTGGCGTCTGTGCGAGTGAGTTCATATGCATGACTACCCCACCTTTTATTTAACTTTTAAAATTGTATGTGTATTAGTGTTTTGCCTACATGTGCATCACATAAGTGCCTGGTTCTAATGGAGGTCAGAAGAGGACATCAGGTTACCTGGAACTATAGTTAGAGACGGCTGTGAGCCAGCATGTGGTCCTCTGCAAGAGCAACACGTGCTTTTAGCTCATGAGCCATTTCTCCAACCTCATTTGTGTTAACATCAATGTCTTAGATCGGATGATCTTGAAAAGCAGTACTTGGCTTTCTTTTCCAGTTGATTTCTGAGGAGGGAGTGAACAGTCTGAATGTCAAGGAATTGCAGGCAGCATGTCGAGCACGAGGCATGCGAGCACTTGGCGTCACAGAAGACCGTCTGAAGGACCAACTGAATCAGGTATGTGACCTCAGTGACTAGTTGGGGCAGGTTAGTAGCTTTCTCCTCTGTTAGGAATTATCTACCTTTCCTCCAGACCAGCATAGGTGTATGCTCACATGTGTGCGTGTGTGTGTTCAAACTAGAAAAGTCCTTAGGTTGGCACAAGGGGTATCCATACCAGGCCCAGAATTCCATCCCTAACACCGCATGGGAGTACACACATACATACAAACCTGAGCATGATGATAGTGTGCTGAGTCAGAAGGATCACTAAGTTTGAGGTCATCCTGGGCTATAGTGTAAGACCCTATCTCAGAACAAACAGAAGGAAAGAGGTCTAGGGCTATAGGTCAGTTGAGAGACTAGCCTAGCATGCACAGGATGGATCTCTAGTGTCACCTGACATGGTTGTTCACATCTGTAATCCTGGCACTCAAGATATGGATGCAACAATTAGAAATTTCAGACTATCTTCAACTAAAAATCAAATCAGACCACCCTCACGGCTTGACTACCATCACATCCACCCTCTCAGCTACCCTGAGCTTGGGCTTCTCCAAGTAGGTGCTTGGTTTGTGGCACTGCACCTTACCTGAGCGTGAAGGTCCTAAGCCAATAGTCCCTGTGCAGGTTTGTGGCAGTGAGTGACATTTACAGCCCCTTGTCTTTGGAGAGATGAGTCTGTTTTCCTCCTAACTCAGCTTCACACCTGTCCCCCCCTTGCCACTTTCCATGTACTCTTCACATGTGACCAAGGATGAGTGAACACCTACTTTCCCACTAGACACGTTTCTGCAGTTCTTTTTTGGTTTGGTTTGGTTGGTTTTTTAAGACAGGGTTTCTCTGTAACAACCCTAAGCTGTCCTGGAACTAGATCTGTAGACCAGGCTGACCTTGAACACACAGAGATCTACCTGCCTCTGCCTCAGGAATGCTTGGTTTAAAGGTGCATGCCACCACTGCCTGGCCCTTGCAATCCTTTCTAATTTGTCTTCCAAGGGCTTCTTCATCACTTAGGTTTCCAGCACAGACCTAAAGGCGAACTGTGAAATCCAAAGTCATGGTCATTTGACCTCTACCATTCTTCTCCTGCTGCTCTCCTTTTTCACTTAATCTTAGCCTTTCTTCTTCTTCTTTTTTTTTAAAGATTATTTATTTTATTTTTATGTGTATGAGTATTTTGCTTACATGTCTATATATGTATCACATGCATGCCTGGTGACCTTTGGCTGTTAAAAGAAGGGTTTGGATGCCCTGAACTAGAGTTACAGACAGTTGTAAGCATCCATGTAAATGCTGGGAATGGAGCCCAGGTCCTCTACAAGAACAAGTGCTCTTAGCAGCTAAACTGTCTCTCAAGCCCCTCTTCTCATCTTTTGGCCTCTGTTTAATGTGTGCCCAAGAGATAACAGCTTTTTCTGTCCACTAGAAAGGTGTCACTAAGGTGTTCTTATAGGCGCAGAGCCCATGATGTGCCTGTGTGTGAGTTCTTGTTAGAGGCAGAGAACAACTGTTAGGAGTCTGTCCTCTCAGTCACCTCGTGGGATCTGGGGATCAAACTCAAGCTGTCAAGTCTCTAAACAAATGTCTCAAGCCATGTGTGGTGCCGCATGTCTTTCATCCCAGCACTCAGGAGGCTGGGGCAGGTGGATCTGTGAGCTTGAGGCCAGCCTGCTCTACAGAGTAAGTTCCAGAACAGCCACTCTACACAAGGAAACTCTGTCTTGGGAGTTGGGGGAGAGGGGATGATGTCTCTATCTGCTAAGCCATCTTGTCAGCCTTCAGTTTGTTTTTAGCATAGTGTTGTGGGTTTAACTGGAGGCTGCACATATGCTAGGCAAACTCTTTGCCACTGAGCTACAGCCCCTGTCCTCTAAATTTTGTTGTTGTTGTTGTTGTTGTTGTTGTTGTTGTTGTTGTTGTTGTTGTTGTTGTGTGAGACCATTTCTCACTGTGTAGCCCTCACTGTCCTGGAACTTGCTATGTGGACTATGCTGGCCTCAGGCTTAGGAGATCTGTCTGCCCCTGCCTCCTGAGTGCTGGGATTAACGATGTAAGCCACGACATCCAGCCTGCCCTTCAAATTTTAAAAAAGAAAGAAAGGACAATTTTTCTAGACAAGGTTTCCTGCTATATGACCCAGTCTGACTGAATTTCTAGATATCCTTCTGCTTTCTAATTTTTTTATTTATATCTAAACACATGGACCAGTAAGATAGCTCTGTGAGTAAATGTGCTTGCCTCCAAGTTTGACAACCTGAGTTTGATTCCCAGAACCCTTGTGGTACAAGAGGAGAAAGACTCCCGAAAGTCTTCTCTAACTTCTGTTCATGTGCCTCTGTGGCATGTGCTGTCATCCCCTCCCAAATAAACAAATGTAAACTAAATGATAAAAGCTTAAAAGTTGCAATAGTAATGGGTACAAATAATATATATGTATGGTACCCTAGGCCTTTTTTTTAAAAAAATTTATTTATTTATTATTATGTATACAACATTCTGCCTCCATGTGTGCCTGCACGCCAGAAGAGGGTGACAGAGCTTATTACAGATGGTTGTGAGCCACCATGTGGTTGCTGGGAATTGAACTCAGGACCTCCGGAAGAGCAGGCAGTGCTCTTAACCACTGAACCATTTCTCCAGCTCCCCCTTTCTTTTATTTTTTTTTTTTAATTGTCGGGTTGTATAGCCCAGGCTGTCATAGAACGTATGATCCTCTACCTCTACTAGTGCAGGGATTACAGATATCCACCACCATCCCTGGGCCAGTGTACCAGCCTGTTTTCAAGCACAGAGCATAGTGACCATCTGGAGCTGATGGTCAGTTGTTCAGTTTATTAAGGGGTGTGTGTGTGTGTGTGTGTGTGTGTGTGAGTGTGTACTTTGTATTATATATATTGGATTTTTTTAATCTTTATGTGTATGGGTGTTGCATGTATGCTTGTGCATCTTGTGTGTGCAGGTCCCATGGAAGCCAGAAAGGGGTGTCAGATCCCCCGGAACTCGAGGTACAAACAGTTGTGAGCTGCCATGTGAATGCTAGGAACTGAACCTAGGCCCTTTGCAGGAGTAGCAAGTGCTGTTTCCAGTCCCTGAAAGATATTTTTGAAATACATTTGGGAAATGTGTTTTAGTCATTTAATGAACCTATTTACTCAGTCATGTTTGCTGTGGCACCTAGACTCTGTGTCCTTCAACTAAGTCAAAGCCACAGAAGGGAACTCTGGGATGCAGGAGAGGCACTGGGGCTGTGGGTCAGCAGGGACAGCATTGCTAGTGCATGTTGTTTGATTCCAGTGGCTCGACCTGCACCTCCACCATGAGATCCCCACATCATTGCTCATACTGTCCCGGGCCATGTACCTTCCAGACACCCTCTCACCTGCTGACCAGCTCAAGTCCACCTTGCAGACCCTTCCAGAAATTGTGGTATGTATTGTTGGAAGATTCTGTTGACGTGTTATCTCTGTGGGCTTGGTACCCTCGCCTCCACAGCTGTGGGAGCCTCTCTAACTTGGTCTTGCTGTCCTCTTCACAGCTCCCTGGTTCGTCTCCCTGCTCAGCCCCCATGTGGCTCACTCTAAAGCACAGCAGTGCTAGGATAGCAAATATGAATTGATATATTTGAGATTTGCTCTGAAACTTAAACAGTTCTCTGATGGATGGGGAACCTTACTTACCCTTGGGATCCTGGAAGCACCTCTGAACACTTAGGAGGCAAAATCCCACTAGTGTATTCTGTTTTGTATGAAACCTGGGTGGTAACATTGCTGAGCTCGAGGTAAAGGTATTATAGGTCTGGCACCTCAGGTTCACTGGCAGTTACCTTCTTCTCCCACTTTCCCTCTCAAGGCAAAGGAGGCTCAGGTGAAAGCGGCAGAGGTGGAGGGCGAGCAGGTAGACAACAAGGCGAAGTTGGAGGCCACACTGCAGGAAGAGGCTGCCATCCAGCAAGAGCACCTGGAAGAACTGCAGAGGGCTGCCGAGGCTGTGGTAAGCAGTCTGCTGTTAGGACCAAGGCTGTCCCAGTCCAAGTTTTCTAGAGCCTGCCTTATGGCCACACATGTGACTCTTTCCTGTCTTTGCCTGCAGGGGTCAGAGTGGTACAGGAGTGCTTGACTATGGAGCTGTAGCTCTCAGGGACAGTGTAATAGAAGACACAATTGGCATAGGAGGGGCTGGCTTAGCACCCAAGCAGGAGTCACCAAGGGACCCACCTTCTCAGGGTTGTTTTCCTAAGAGTGGCTGACTCCTAAGAGTGCTCACCCCTTGGCCCTATGATCTCAAAAGCTGCAGGAAGCTGTGACTGGAGCTTGGAATTGCCTAGGTTATTCATGTCCATCCGGTCACCCGGACTAGCCCCAGAGATGGGCAACATGCTCTCACTGAGTCTGTTGAGGAGCCTCAGGTGGCCTGCTCATCCTGGGGCAGGGGAACTACTGCTGCTGGGTGATCTGTGGGTCTTCTTAATCACTTAGTAGATTATGCCAAGTGTACCTGTCAGGAGTATATGCTGAGTGTGGACCAAGGTGACAGTGTGGTACTGCTTACATTTCAGAAGGACACCCAGCCAGAAGTAGCAGAAGCCACCATTTCTGGGAGGCCAGGGGCCGAGCTTCAGCCAGAGGTGCCTGATGTGAGCGTGTCCTCAGAGACACTGAAGGATACAGCACCTGTGCTAGAGGGATTGAAGGTGAGCTGTACATGACTGAGGGGGAGCAGGGCTGGACTGTGGGTTCCTTAGCTCCTAAAAAGAGGTCTTGCTGGACAGGGCATTCTCTTACCCTCCAGCCAGTCACATTTCAGACCCTCTCAGAGATCATGGTATATGCTGTTGGGAAATCCCATTGACTCACTTAATTCTTGGATGGGGGGCTCACCTCTACAACCATGGAGCCCCTCCAGGAACACTTTTACTTCCTGGTGAGATGAAGTAGTGGCAAGGAGGCAGAGACCAGCCTTAGGGCTATAAGAAGCTTAGAGCCTTTGACACTGAGATGAGGCTGCCAGGCTCCTCGTGGGTTTCTAGGCCCCTGTCCTCCTGTTGGGCAGTGGGAAGGGAACTAAAGGCTGAGCCCTCAAAGCAGAGCTTCCTGTGCAGAGGCCCACCCTGCTGTCATTTGCCAGGTGATTGGGTGTGAGGCTCCTTGAGAAACTTCTGTCAATTTGTTATCAATAAATTGGACAGAACATGAACTATCTTCTGGGTCCTTCTGTCCTCAGATGCCAGGGCGATCCTAATGAAGGAGCAGATATTCAATGTGGTAGGCAGTATTCTAAGTGGATAGAAGACAACTTGGTAGTTGAATGAGAGAAAAGGAGGAGAGACACTTGACTAGATGAAAGCTGTGTGTTCAAGAAATCTCTGCTGGGGGTCCAGGAGGATGGCAAAAGCCCTTTGCATCTTTTTTTTTTTTAAAGATGTATTTATTTATTATGTATAGTGTTCTACTTGCATGTATATCCACAGACCAGAAGAGAGAACCAGATCTCTGATTACAGATGGTTATGAGCCACCATGTGGGTGCTGGGAATTGAACTCAGGTCCTCTGGAAGAGCAGCCAGTGCTCTTAACCGCTGAGCCATCTCTCCAGCCCCAGCCCTTTGCATCTTGAAGGGAGTGGATGATCAGGATCACATTCAGGGCTTAGAGGAGGGGGGTAAAACTTGTTCTTGATGAAAGCAGAAAGTGTGGAGAGCTGAGGCCCAGCAGCTGCCTCTAACAATAGCCTTTGTAAGAAGAGGGCTTGACAAAGTTTATGCCCCCAGCCTAGCCCCTGGAGTTTTGGAGAGGGGAGAGAGGAGCCTAATGGGCTCCTGTGAAGACTGCCTAGAGAAAGCAGGCTGCTGCATGGCCCCGGAGACCCCGGAATAGAGACGCAGTGTGATCAAGGCCAGAAGGTCATGGCAATGGCAGAAGTCCCCAAAATCTGAACTCAAGGTGGTTCCCAGACAATCCTACAAGAAACAACAGGCTGTAGAGGCAGAGATAGGATGATCCCTTGTTGTTGGTTGTTTTCTACTTTTTGATTCCTTTGGGGGGCCTGCCACCCAGCTCCCAAATAAATCACACACGGAGGCTTATTCTTTCTTATGAATATCTGGCCTTACCTTGGCTTATTTCTGCCCAGCTTTCCTTAACTTAAATTATCCCATGTATCTTTTGCCTCTGGGCTTTTATCTTTCTCTGTTTCTGTATATCTTTCTTTACTTCTTTTTCCATGACTTGCTGTGTGGCTGTGTGGCTGGCCCCTATTGCTCCTTGTTCTTTTTCCAGATTTCTTCTTCTATTTATGCTCTCTACCTGCCAGTCCCACCTATCTGTTCTCCTCCTCACTATTGACCTGAGTTCAGCTCTTTATTAGACCAATCAGGTGTTTTAGACAGGCAAAGAATCACAGCTTCACAGAGTTAAACAAATGCAGCATAAAAGAATGTAACACATCTTTACATCATTAAACAAATACTCCACGGCATAAACAAATGTAACACATCTTAAAATATTATTTCACAACAATCCCTGGGGATTTATGACCAGCCAGCCTAGCTGAATTGGTAAATCTAGTAAGAGACTCTCTCAAAAAAGAAGGGGATGGAGAGATGGCTCAGTAGTTACATTGCTCTTGTTCAAGTTCTTTTCCCAGCACCCACACCTGGAGGCTCACAACCACCTGTAACTCTAGCTCTAAGGGACCTGATACCTCTTGTCTTCTTGGGTACCTACACTCCTGTGCACATTCCCACATATACACATACAATTAAAAAGTTAACTTTTTTCTAAAGAATTCTCAGATGTAGCATAGTAACTCATGCCTTCATTCACAGTACTCAGGTGACAGAGACACATACACATAAATAATATAACTATATATATATATACATATATATATATAATAGTAAATAAACTTCTCACAACTTAATAAATAAGAAGACAAATTTTTTTTGAAATTGTCATTATTGGGGGCTGGTGAGATGGTTCAGCAGCTAAGAGCACTGGCTGTTCTTCCAGAGGTCCTGAGTTCAATTCCCAGCAACCATATGGTGACTTACAGCCATCTATAATGGAATCTGGTACCCTCTTCTGGCATACAAGTGTATATGTAGATAGAGCACAGTATACATAAAATAAAGAAATCTTTAAAAAAGAGAGAGAGAGAGAACAAAAGGAAGAAAGAAAGAGGGCTGGAGAGATGGCTCAGTGGTTAAGAGAACTGATTTTTCTTCCAGAGGTCCTGAGTTCAATTCCCAGCAACCACATGGTGGCTCACAACCACCTGTAATAATAAAATCTGGTGGGGCTGGAGAAATGGCTCAGCGGTTAAGAGCAGTGGCTGCTCTTCCAGAGGACCCGGGTTCAATTCCCAGCACCCACATGGCAGCTCACAACTGTCTGAAAATCCAGTTCCAGGGAATCTGACACCTTCACACCAGTGCACATAAAATAAAGATAAATAAATCATGAAAAAATTTTTTAAAAAAATAATAAAATCTGGTGCCAACTTCTGGCCTGCAGGGACACATGAAGGCAGAACATTGTATAAATAATAAATAAAAAAATCTTTATTTAAAAAAAGAAAGAAAGAAAAGAAGGAAGGAGAGAGAGAGAGAGAGAGAGAGAGAGAGAGAGAGAAAGAAAGAAAGAAATTGTCAGTATTGAGCCAGATGGTACAGGAAGAACAGCCAGTGCTCTTAGCTGCTGAGCCATCTCGCCAGCCCCCAATAATGACTGGCTACTTAAGAGACTAACAAAAGAGATTCATAAGTTCAAGGACAGCTTAGGCAATTTAATGAAAGCCTTATCCAAATAAAAAGTAAAATAGCAGTGGTTAGAGAAATGTCTTGGAGTTTAAGAACACTGGCTCTTCTTCCATAAGACCCAGGTTTGATTCTCAGCACTCACGTGGCAGCTCACAACTGTCTGTGACTCCAGTCCCAGGGCATCTAATGCCCTTTTCTAGTCCCTTCAGGAACAAGGCAGACATGTGGTACACAGACATATATGTAGGCAAAACATACCCATACACATACAAAAAAAAAAAAACACTTTTTAAAAAATGTAAAATAAGGGACTGGAAAGATGGCTCAGTGGTTAAGAGCACTGGCTGTTCTTCCAGAGGTCCTGAGTTCAATTCCCTACAACCACATAGTGACTCAGAACCTTCTGCAGTGGGATCTGATTCCCTCTTCTGGCCTGCAGGAATACATGCAGGCAGAACATTGTATACATAGTAAGTGAATAAATCCTTTTTTAAAAAAATGTAAAATAGGGCCGATAATATGATTTGATAGAATACTTACATAGCATGCTTAGGTCCTAGGTTCTGCAAAACAGGAGAAAAAAAATGACCTTCCATCTAGTGTTGGAGAGGGTGTGGGGGGCCTAGATCACTTTGGAAACTATGCTTTACTAAAGCCTCAAACTTATACTCTGTGATCAGCTGACCTAGTCCTGGGCATTGCCCCACCAGTGACTGTACACAGACATTCACAGCAACTATCATTGTAATCACTGAAAGCCAATAGGAAGAAGAAAGATATGCTTTAATGTTGCTGTCCAGATTAGAAAATCTTTACCATTAGATGCCAAAAGAGGTGAGCTGGTCAAAAGAGGCAGACCTAATAATTCCTCTCCTATAAAGTTCTAGAAAACAAAGCCTGTCCTATAGAGAGGAAGCAAGTCAGTCTTGCCTGGGGATGGAATCCTGGGAAATAGAAAGGAACATTTGGGGATAACCAGTGTGCTCATTCTGCTGGCTGTGGGATGAGTGTGTTGGGGTACAATGCACCAAGAAGATGCAGAGAGATGGGCTCCAACTTACTTGAGGCTGTCCTTAAGTGCTTGCCTATGTGGCATGAACAGAAAGGCTTTCAGCATTTAGGGACAGAAGCCATTGTTCCCTTGACTTAGGTTTATCTTACTCATTTCTTTCCAGGGAGAAGAAATAACTAAGGAGGAAATTGACATCCTCAGTGATGCCTGTTCTAAGCTGAAGGAACAGAAGAAGTCCCTGACCAAGGAGAAGGAGGAGCTGGAGCTGCTCAAAGAGGATGTCCAGGACTACAGTGAGGTGGGTGGGCATCCGGTGCAGGGATACGGACCTTGGACCTTGTACGTAGGGCTTCATCAGCTGCTCACTGCAGAGGGTGGGTAGAATGCAGCTTTATCAGATCCCAAAGCATCGAGTAACACTCCTGTCATGTACATAACAGGGTGCCCAGAGAGAATGTGGAGAGAAAAGTCAAATGGAAAATAAATTTTGACCAAGGATACAGTTGACAATAGAGCACAAGGCTTAGCAGTATAAGCCCCAGCTTAGAATCCGGGCACCACAGTAATTCTAATCGGGCCACTTTGTAGGTAAATGACACCCTTGCTGGTGCTAAGTAGATAGTGATAGGTATCTGAACCCCGGTGTCATGTAAACAGCCTGGTCACTTGATACATGAAATCTTACTTTCATTCATAACCCTTCAAGATACTTTTTTCTTTTCTTATCTAGTGGTTGTCCTCCCTTCCTCCTTCCCTTTCTTCTTTCCTCCCTCCTTTTCTTTCTCTCATAGTTCTGGGATCGATCCCAGGACCTTGTGCATGCTAGACAAGTGTTGTGGCACTAACTACATCCTCAGCCCAAATGGACATTGTTTTCGTTTTATTTATTTATTTAAGCTTTTTTTTGTGGGGGGAGGTTGGTTTTTGAAGACAGGGTTTCTCATTAGCTATGGAGCCAATCCTGGAACAAACTCTGTAGACCAGGCTGACCTCAAACTCACAGAGATACATCTGCCTCTGCCTGCTGAGTGCTGGGATTAAAGGCACCACCACTGCCTGACTTATTTTTTAACTTCCTTATTGAATCTTTGGGGGTTTCACATCATGCACACCAATTCTGTTCACCTCCCAGTCTTCCCATATCCTCTCTCATCCCTGTTGCATTCTAGCACTCAGGAGGCAGAGGCAGGTGGATTTCTGTGAGTTTGAGGCCAACCTGATCTACAGAGTGAGTTCCAGGACAGCCAGGGCTGTTTCACAGAGAAACCATGTCTTAAAAAACCAAAACCAACCAAACAAACAAAAAACAGACATTGTTTTCTAATATGAGGTAGCAGTGTTATTATCCCCCACTCTGTTGGGCAAGTAGTGATTTGGAGATTGCTAAAAATCAGTTTTCTGTTTCTCACCTTCCCTGTGGGAGCCCCCCTGGCTGTGTGACTTCGCCATCAGAAGCCACGTTTTCACCAGACAGACAAGACAGTGCTCAATCCTCTTGGCTCTTCACCCTGCTTCTGTCCCTGTCATCTTCGCTCCTTGTAAAGAAAGAAGGTGCTTAGAATTCCTTGAGTCTTTGTATGTTCATTCTTTAGTAACTACAAAGGAACTTGATATTCAGAATAGATTTTTTTCCCTCTAATACAAAAAAAAATTTGAGCTTGCAAAACGTGGGCACAGTAGGCTGCTAAACCAAAAAATTAGTGAGAACAAATTTGCATGATGGACGTAAGATCATCCAGTTTTCTGAGGCTGAATTGAATTCTTTTATTTGGTTTTTTGTTTTGTTGTCCTCGGGATCAAGCAGGATCTTGTGCATAGTAGGAAGCATTGTACCACTGAGCCACATCCCAGCACAAATTAATGATTTGATTTTCTTTTCAAGTTCAAATTAATATAGAGCCTCCCTCTTTTTTGATACAAACTTTTTAAAATTAGGACTTACAAGAGATCAAAAAGGAACTTTCAAAGACCGGTGATGAAAAATATATAGAAGAATCCACAGCTAGCAAGAGGCTGACAAAGCGAGTGCAGCAGATGATCGGGCAGATCGATGGCCTAATTGCACAGCTAGAGACCAGTCAACAGAATGGCAAACTGGGCCCCCATGAGAGTTCTCCAACAGGGTAAGTGAGCCATGAACCTGTTCTAGCCTGGCTGCAGCTGACAGGTGCTTTTGCTGGAATCTAATTCCAAAGCCTATCTTTGGCCTGTGCCTGCCCACCCTACCTAGTGTTCAGGAGCAGCCAGGATCCCAAGAGGTCTTTGCTCTTATTTTTCTTTCCTTCGCAGCTCAATTTCTATATCCCTGAGCTTGTTTTACTTACGTAACTCAGATCTGTCTCTTCCCTGCCTGTGTCCCCTGACCCGTCTTTTCTCCCCTTCCATGGTGCCTTCCCCTTGAGCTTACATTGACTCCACGTTCTTCAAACTGCTAGGCTTTCTCCTGCTTCTTCCCTATTCCAAACCCTGGTATTATGACACTGTTGTGGACAGTCTGCTTGCTTAAGCAGCCACCAGGAAACAGTGGCACACTCCATGCTTTTGTAACCCAGCTTTGAGTAGGCTTGTCACAGTCCTGACCATAGATAGACTCTACAGTGAGGGCAGGTGCTTGCAGCTAGACTCTGCTTCTGCTCCAGGCCCTGTACCTAGTGACCCTTGTTACCTCCGGATGAGGATATTTTCTCTCTTGTATTGTTTGTTGGCTCCCTGGCAGACACAGCCTAGGGACCTGTGGTGCTCTCTATTGTGGTGTGGGTGCCCATGGAAACCAAAAGAAGGTATCAGATCCCCTAGAGCTGGAATTATAGACAACTATGAGCCACCCAACATGGGTTCTAGGAACTGAACTCAGGTCTTCTGCAAGAGCAACAAGTGCTCTTAATCACTAAACCATCACTAATCACTCTCCAGCCTCAGGTTTTGTTTGTTTTTTTCAGTTTTATGTGTGTGTATAAGTGGTATGTGTGAGTGTGATACTTGTATATGTGCTATATGTGCAAGTGTATGTATGCTGGTATACTTGCTTATGTACACATGGAGGCTGTCAGCCTGCAAGCCCATGATCTTGCCTCTGCCCCCACCCAACAGAACTAGGGCTATAGACAAATATGTGACTACTCCCAGCTTTTACGTGGGTTCTGAGGATTTGAACTCAGATCCTCATGCAGTAAGAGCACTGATAGCTACTAAACAGTCTCCCCAGCATCCAAGGATGTTTTCTATCAGTCTCCATGCTGGCATTGCATCCTAAAGGGAAAGAGCCTGAGGATCTCACTGTGGGAGGAGTCATGCTGACATTTCCAGTTCATGCATGGCCACAGGATCAAAGTCTATGGGAAGAGCTATGGGTAAGGCATGAGGCCGAGCACCTGGCCAATATCACATGCAGACTACACTCCCCAGGGAGAGTGTCATCAGTGTCAGTGAGCTCATCACCGCCATGAAGCAAATCAAGCACATTCCAGAACACAAGCTGATCAGTTTGGCTTCAGCCCTGGATGAAAATAAGGACGGCAATATCAACATCGATGACCTTGTCAAGGTGGGTCTCAGTAAGAACTGAGCCAGCAGGCTAGCCTGACTGCTTTTCTGATTTAGAGTCCAGGGGTTTGGGGAGGAGCTGCTTTTTTAGAGCCTTAAGACTCTCAGAAGGGAACTAGAGAAATGGCTCAGTGGTTAAGGACACTGGCTACCCTTACAGAGGAACAGGGTTCAATTCCCAGCATCCACATGACTGATTACAACTGTCTGTATCTCCAGCTCCAGGGAGATACTGGCACCATCAACACAGGCAAACACCAATGTACGTACAATAATTTTTTTTAAAAAAAAAAAGACCATATCAGGAAGCTGGGTCTGCAGGCCCAGGTATCTCAGCCCTTTGCTCTCAATTGAAATCACACTGGAATTAAGAAGTTATAAAAGTTACAGGCATAATGGTGATATAACAAAATTGAGTCTCTGCCCTGCCACAGGCCCACTCTATCAAATGTCCCTTGGATTGTTCCTGCATGTCCCACAGGAACTTATATCCCTATTAGCTCTGGAAAACAGGGTGAACACACCTGTCAGGACCCCTTTTGGGGGCTGCCTGAGACCTGAGAAACACTGAGTGGGTAGAGCATGTAGGATGGTGGCTAAGGTCCAAGTACATCAGCCCACATACCCAAGTCAGGATCCAGCCTCTAGGGGATGTCTGGATTCCAGCCTGCAAATTACCATGGACCTACCGAAATCATAAATCATGTTTTTTGAAGGAAAAAATCTGCCTTCATGGTTTCCAGCACACCTGACAAGTTAGTGGTTTTTCTAGCCATTTTAAATCAAGGTGCTATCAGACATGCATGCTGAGCATTTTCCTCACTCTCCCTTCAGTCTTCATGGCAGGAGCAGATATATTCCAGTGCCTACCCCTTGCTGTACCAGGGAAGCCATGTTCAGGGCAGGTCCTAGACCTCTAGCAGTATGGATGCCACAGTCTTGTGAAGTCTGTAGCCTTGGGGGTCTGAGACCCAGGCACCCATAGCATGCAGTGCAATGACCAGTGCCTAGCCAAGAAGATGGCTCAGAGGAGTCAAGTCCTGCCTCCCCACAGCTGTCCCCAGGATACCAGATCGTGCAGTGATGCAGCCTTCTAAGTCCCCTCTCCTGTGTGTTCAGGTGATCGACTTGGTGGACAAAGAAGATGTTCAGATCTCTACCACCCAAGTAGCCGAAATTGTGGCCACACTAGAGAAGGAGGAAAAGGTGGAAGAGAAGGAAAAGGCCAAGGAAAAGGCTGAGAAAGAGGCCGCAGAAGTGAAGAATTAGAACTGCCTGGCTTTTGGCCCACAGGGTCTGCCTTCATCATGCTACACCAACCACAGTGGGGATGACACAAGAGTGATTGCTATGAGGTGATTCTTAGTGGCAAATCTAATATTTTATCTGGAATAAATCAGAAACTTCCTTAATCAAGCAATTTTTAATTTTCATCATTCCATGAAGATTCAGTCAGCCTGGAGCCTTAGAGCCCTCTGAGTGATTGTGTCTGGACTCATGCCTTGGTGTGGTACTAAATGGCCCTAACCCTTGGGGTAAGGGGACAGCCACCACTAGGATCATAGCCTCACACTGACCCCTAGCTCCAAAGGTAGCTTGGGCTAGGCTGGGTAGGAAAGTATTTCCCTGTTTATGTCCTTACTCGCTCAGGGTCTGGCCAAGCCTCTGTCCCTTGAGAGGAGAGTGAGAACCAAGTGGACTCCCAGAACCTATGTGGAGCCAAGTAAATGTGCCTGCATTTCTCCAGAGGCCTTGGAATAAGAGGTAGACAGACACAATGCAGACCTCCTCTGCACTGAAGACGCTGGAGTCAGTTTGAGGACTTGGATTCCTCCGGGAGATCTGTATGCTCACTCCTCCACAGTTGTGTCGTAACTACTGGTCCCTGACAGCATTGTCTCTCTTGTATGGATTCTGAAGCATGTTGACTGGAGCATTCTCAATTTACCATTGATTTCCACCTAATTCTATAACTGACTAGTACTGAATTTTCACACATGACTATTTGCCTAGCTCATGAGTAGTTCCGTAATTAACAGGGGACATACACTGAAGAAGCCTTTGAAAATGAAATTGGGCAGTCCACATTGCTGAGTAGCCCTGGGGGATAGAGCTGACATCTAAAACCTGAACACACCTGAGGCTTTGTGTGGCTTTTAACATAAAACTTAAGTCCTGCCCAGGACAGTGGCTGTTTCGTCATGTTGCAGACTCAGGCTTCTTCAGCACAGCTGCTCTTGAATGTGCTCCTGCCACCAGCAGGGAGGAAGTAGTCTGTGGTGCCACAGAGCTTTTGGCGTGGTGTTCTGTGCCTGCTAATGGCTCGCTGGCACTCCTGAGTGGAGCTGCACTAGCTCAGCGTCCAGAGCTCTTGCTGAGTGGCCAGCACCCTTTCTTGGAGATGGCTGCTTGGGCAGGCCAGGGCTGAGTATCCTGTGGCCTCACCACCAGCCTCCCACTGTAACCCCATCCTAGGATCACAGAAAGCAAGATCATGAGTTCAGCTTGGGCTATCCTGTCCAGGAAAAAAATTCTTTGGACTCCAGACAGGATATAGAAGATGTGCAGAGAAGCAGCAACTAGAATGGAACTTTCTCGGTTTCTTGAAACTTTTCTTAAAGGAAGTATATGATGCTAAGCAAGAATAAAATAATTCTTACACGTAAGCCTGTGCAGAGTAACAATGGAATCTAGTGAATATATGGTCACATCTGTGAGTCCTTGTGTACCCTAGCATCCTGGTTCCCACTCTTAGTGTATACTTCTGAGGACAAGATTGTGGTTGCCAAATGTGTCCCCACAATGAATTGTTTCTCCTCTGAGCAGCATTCTGCGACCTGTCCTTTGTCTACCTGTTGTCTTCATCCTTCATTGTTACTGGGCACTGTCAGTGGCTGTGTTAGCTGTTGCTGACTCAGGTATTTCCCTGCTGTCCTGCTGTGGACTGTGCCCTCACAGGTCACACCATCACCCTGGAAAGTGGGTTCACCCTGTGATAATGCAGGGAGCCTAGCAGTGGGTGCTTGCCTTGGTTTTTGGAACTGACCTCACATCTGTTTCATTGTTTGATTTCAGTACAGCTGGGTCAGGTTTAGAAATGGCAGCTCTACTGGACAGTGATGGTGGCGCACACATTTAATCCCAGCACTCCAGAGGCAGAGACAGGCGGATCTCTGAGTTAAAGGTCTGCTTGGTCTACAGAGCAAGTTCCAGGACAGCCAGGGCTCTCATAGAGAAAGTCTGTCTTGAACCACACCACCACCACCACCCCCCAAAAAAAAAGAAAAAGGAAAAGAAGTAGCAGCCCCATGACAGCCGGGTGCCCACACCTGTTAAATGAAATCTGGCATTCCCTTCTACACTCCCAACCACCTTCCCACACAGGATTTGGAAAATTGGTGTCTGAAGCCCAGGCTCTTTCTGAACTATCAACATCCTAAATGTGAAGGGCACCATGCAGTTCTAAAAGGCTATCCTCATGGTCTTGGGCTGTGACTCCTGGGGCCATGGCAAGGGAACAAGTTCTGTACCCTCTTCTGACTTCCAGGGATCTCAGAGCCTCCAGCTGGGTCACATGGAAACATCTTCCATGCCCATGTAACAGCCCAAAGGGATTCTTCTGAGCCCTGAGCAATCTGCTTAGTAAAGAGATCGAAGAGAAACTCAGACCTCCTAAGTTAATGAGGATTGTGCTGTGGGCATCAGATGTGCTCAGATTTTAGCAGGGCTTAATCCTCCCCGCAGCTTCTCAGTGCCAGCTCATCTTTAGGGGCTCAAGTCTTGGTTCCAGGCTCATGCTTTGTGGGGCCTGAGAAGACCTGTATCCCCTCATCCTGAGGTATCCCCTCATTCTGTGGAACAGCCCTGCTTTGTGGAGTCAGGCAAGTACTTCTTAGAATTGAAGGTGACTCGGGGGCCCTTGGAGACTGGCAAGCAACAGCTTGATGTAAGGAGGTGACCAAATAAAGTACCACTGCTGTCGTGTCTGCTGTAAGATGATTTGTCCAGTTCGGTAGTCCTGACACCTACCGGGCTCTCCCAGCCTGCAAACCCCCTCAGATGGCCTCAGACTTGTCACCTCACAGCCCCATGTTGTGCCTGTTGTGAGCTGCACAGGGTGGGCAGGAGCTTGGACTGTGGCTGAGGAGTCCCAGGGAAGTGGAACCTGTGCCCACACTAAGTGTACTACTACTGTCTTGTAAACAGAATCCAGCCACAGGGACGTGTAGAGGGCAATGGGCACCTTGGTGCTTCCTCTGGGGTAGCTCAGCTGGGAGGAGGGTAAAGGTATAGTATCTATCTCCTGATCTTCCCAGGACCCCAGCACGTCTTGGGTGATCTCCTATAGCCATTCTTAAGTGTCTTTTAGAATGCTTGATTGAAATTCCATTGGTCTCCAGGATCAAGAGGTACAAGTTGCAGGGCAAGGGTAGGAACTGCTTGCTGGTTGGGATAGGCATTTAAAGGGCACAGCATGCCCACTGGCTGTAGTGAGGACCGAGTAAACATTCAGATGAAATGGATTTAGCCAGAAAATGGAAGTCCCCAGGTGACTTGAGAAAAGCCTTATGTGCCAGGGAGTAGAGATGTGATTGTGCCTGAGTCTCTCAGGACATTTTATACACACAGAATCAGTTTCTTGCCTTCTTAGGATGATAAATCTTTCTCTTCCTTTTTAAAATTTTATCTGTTTTGTTGTAAGTATGTTATGTACCCACAGAGACCAGAAGAGGTTGTCATCTCCCCCAGAATGGAGTTAAGGATAGTTGCTACCATCATGTAGGTGTTGGAAATGAAAGCCAGGTCCTCTACAAGAGCAGCAAGTACTCAACTAAATCAGAGTCATCTTTCCAGTCCAAAGGATAATTCTTGCTGCTGGTCCTCAGACCATTGGGGACACAGCTACATGCCAGTGGATAAGCAGAATAAGCAGGCTCCTGAGAACTAGCGTGTCCCTGATGCTAGCCAGTACAAACTGGAAACCATCCACCATCACTACCACCCATATCCAAAAGGCAGGGCAGTCAGGTAGAGATATTCCTCCAGAGAGCAGACACAGCAGAAAGAGCCTGACTTCAATAAGGAATGGGAGATTTGAGTGCAAACCCAATGCTTGCAGCTTGAGCCACTCATACTCCTTTCCCATTGTGCAATGCCCATTCAGTCGACTCTGGTGGTGCAGCTCAAGGCCCTCTTCTAAGGTGGCAATGGGACTATGATGGACAAGAGTGGTCCGGCCTATGGCCCCTGACCCTCAGGTCCACTTTCTGTCACCGTGGACCAACCCCTTGATGTTAAAACTTTTCTTGGATGCCATAGGAAGCTATGCTCAACATGGCACTAGGGGGCGCCACAGACTGGCGTACAGCTGACCCAGGAAGTGTCAAGCCTGGTTTAGGGATAGGAATGTACCCATCTGGTCACACTGCTCTCCAGACTTGTCAGGCCCTTTAACTGCCACCCCCTGCCTGGTCACTATCATCAGGGGTCTGCGTGGCTGGAATGGAAACTGTCTGGTCTCCATCTGGGGGCCGCTATGGTGAACCAACAACAGAACGAGACCATAGCTTCCTCTAAAACCCAGTACCTCCCTGAAGATCAAGCTCCGTCTAGAACCAAAACTTCAGTTAGTGTGGCTAAGCAAGTCTCCTGACCTAGAAGGTGGGCCTGATCCTAGCTACAAGAGGAGACAAAGGGACAGTTCATTCAGCCCCCAGGTCTCCAAAGGTTATTACAAAAGTATTACAGACCAAATGGACGTAGGAAGGAAGGAAACACTCAAGTTCTCTCTCTCCATTGTCCTGGAACTCAGATCACCTGCATCATGCTTGGCCCAGTGTAGATTGCTTAAACCAGAGGTCTGGTTACCTACCTTCCTGCAAAAGCTACCACACATACTTAAGCACTTTCTGTCTTCATGGGATCCCTCCTGTCAAGACAGCCAGGAAGCTGGAGAGGCCAAGTGCACTTCCTCCACACACCCATATTCCCCTCCTGTGGACACATCTCTAGTGCATCCTGTCCTTTTGGACCTCTAGTAACCCTAAGATTCTGCCTACTACTTAGGCCACAGGAAAACAAACCCCACCAAATCCCAGCTGTCCTTACTTTGGGAGGGAAAAGCAGTTAATTAGTCCCCTGGGAGCCTGAGACCAGCACCTTGCTCTAGGGAGCAGACATTCCTGATTCCTTAGATGCTGTTATCCCTCCACCTCTGCCCTGTCTCCCCTGTCCCCAGCAGTTAAGGACACAGTTGCATAGGTCCCAGGACACAAGAGAGCACTCTGAAGATCAGAACCAGTTCTCACTTTATTTTTTGGAAAGTAAGTTGGTTAACAAAATCACATTTGCCAGTGTGGGCTGACAACCTATGTGCTGGGTCCCCCCAAAAAAGTCACCCTGAGCCACTGTCCTGG